GACAGACTCTTCCCAGTTGCAGCATTTGTGATCCTGTGAGCTATTTCACTGGAGTCAACCTACATGTGCCAATCCTTTAGTGTCAGCCTATTTCGTTCACATCAAAGAGAGTGCAAGTTAAAACAAACAGCTGATCCCAAGGTAACAGCTGACTGATCTCCCTAGGCATGAAAAATCAACAGAGTTGCAAACGTTAGGCCAGACCATGTCTGCTGTTCATATAAAGCTGACTAAAGCTTTGACACCAGAAAAAGCAATTTTCAAACAGGAACAAGAACATAAACAGCAAAAGAATATAGAAGACCCCTTTAAAATCCTCTAAGTAACATTAAGCGGAGAGGAGGAAGACAGACGCCACACAGAAGAAGGTATCTGTAGATGCCAGCAAACATTTTTCTTCCCACACCCTTCACCAGTACAGTGGCTGCTCCTGAGACAAAAATAACAGGAAGGGATGTAAAGGAGCTCAGAGGACTCAGAGCGTCTGAAAAGTAGAAATATGTCTGCGAACACAAGGCCCAGCTTCATCTAGCCCTAGATATAAAATTGTTCCAAACTGTGTGAATTTAGCCTTAATATCAAGTGTTAAATTCTAGTAGGTCTACAGCAAAGTGGATAAGAGCCATAAAGCTGGCAGTGAAATTGAGACTTCTTCTGGTCAGCTAACAGGAAAAGTCAGTCCGAAGGTTAAGGTTTATGTAGCTCTCTTTGAACTGTTTCACGCTTGACTTTCTGCGATACACACGAACTGGTCCAATGCATCACAGTGTTGTTTTTATCATATCAAATCACTAAGTGAGGATTCTCAATTTCATGCCCCATTCATACCTTGTAACACAGATTGCATAATGTACACTACCCACAAAAGCCTTTTGGTTTTCCTGTTGGAAAGTTTTCTCAGGAGCTGGCAGCAAAATAATAATGGGTAGATCTCCACCTCAGTAACATCGGTGTAAATCCATTGCAACTTACATGGCTTTAATACAGTTATTTGGGTTTATATCAGATTGAAATCTGGCCTAAGGTCTAAATGGTGATTTCTTGGCTATCTCTGCAATTTTAATCAAAAGCCCTGTAGCACTCGGCCAATGGCTGGATGTGACAGGCATTTCATGTCAGTGTATCAGCCCAGCCTTGTCATTTTAATTGCATACATGTTCAGTGTGCTCTCCATTGAGATTTAATGATGTCCCAGGTTGCTGCACTGGAGCCAATCAGAAAAACAGAATGCAAAGCACCGCGCTTCCTGTGCCTATGTTCTCTAACTTCTAGTTGGGTTTTTAGGACAACATCCTCTGCCATATGACTTTGAGCAGATTTGAACTCCATGGTGAAATGATGTTTTCTCTCTGTTCTGAGCATGTTCCTGAGCAGGGAATGATTTGAATACTTGTAGGAAAGTGCCTGCATGTTATCTGTGGACACTAACTCTAACTGTCCAAAAATATAGTTCTGATTAGCAATTCTTAGGTAAATCTTAAAGCGGGAGGAGTCACCGAGAACTGGTAGATGCTTTAATTATGCATTTAAAATATAGCCCATTCAATTAACTAATCTAGAATTATTCCCTTCTATAAGAAAAAGTTTGAACTGATCTGTACCTTGCATCTAATCCATTTTCTATTCTGTTGTCTATACAGCTTTGTTCTTTTTCGACATAAGCTTAGCTGTGTGGCCTTGAATTTTACTTTATTAAAGATTACCAACCAAATCAAATGGACACTTACAAATACCATTTGATCAACATGAGATTATTTTGGATTTTTTTTTTCTGCCTAAAACCATCTTTGTGAATTTTGATTTAAAAGGTAACTTAATTTTGTTTCTCTTTCATTTATAGTGTTCCTAAGTTTTCAAAGAGTCCTTAACAAAGGAAGATACCTAAATTGTGAAAAAAAATAGGGAAAAACACTGGAACATCTGAAGAGGATGCTTAGACTTTTTGGTCAATGAAAATTCTGGAGAAAAATAACCAGCATTTAGCATTTTCTCTTCCAAGAGGAACTCTCTGCTAGGAAGATGTATAGGATTAAGAATAGATGTTCATGCAGCTTTTAAACTTCCCTCTTCTCCATTATACAGATGGACCCTGAAAGTGAGACAATGGTATTTCAGTGCTCTTGACCTTCTACTTGGCTGCTTCATCAGAGAAGTGGTTACTGTGAACCTCTAGTCTGTCCTTCACAAGCCAAAAGGGACTCAAGTTCAAAAAAACCTGCCAAGAAAGGAAGTAATATTCCTAGCATTGATCTCCATCTCAGTACATTACTAAAATGCAGGTGTTCATTACATTAACATCAGTTTATGGACGTGAGAAATAAATCACATTTATTGCTGGTAATGACATGTAGACACTGAAAAGTCTACGGCTTCCCAAATAGACAAGGTGTTACAAACATGCCCATGGCATTACTGGAAAAATCTACTTCCTTGGTGCCAGCTCTCGGG